GGCGGCCAGACTGAAGGTCGCATTTGAGGAGTGTGGCATCGACGTGGTCGATATCAACCAAGGATTTCAGACATGGCTTACTTTCACGGCATCTTCTTTGATTTCAAACGCTTTATTGCCGTACGGGGAGCACTTGATGAAGTCTCTTTCGCACATGGGGGGAGTCAGGGTATCGAAGAGACAGGCTCTGGAGATCTTCCGGAATGGACGCGGCAAACAGTTCAGCATCTACCGCGAAAGAATCTATGATGAGGTCGCGAAGAAGTGGCTCCTGGTCTTCAGGGTCACGAAAGATTGCGGAAATGTCGCGTACAAGGACTTCTTCGAGCAGGTCGCTGTTCCTGAGGTGAAAGAAAGGAACGAAATCTTCGGATTCTCCCGTGCATCGACCGAGAAGACTGGGGACATCATCGAGTTTTGGCTTGGTGTCTTGGATGTGGCAAACATGGCGAAAGGAGTTGTGAATGTCTTCAATGCCAGCGTTGACCCTGCTGAATTCCTCAACGGCTTGGAAAAGGCATTGGCCCAATTCACATCAACTTCCAGAACTACAAGCACCATCAACGACAAGAGACGAGGATCTTTCGACTGCACCCTGCAGACCGCAGAAGCCGAAAAGGTCATGAAGATCATCCACGCAATCCCCGGGTATGAATCGTTGATTAACTTCAACTGTCTCACGGAGTGGGAGAAAGATCAGGTCATCTCTCAGTTTCGAAGAAAGCACCATGTCACAGGGGACGACACCAACATGGGCACTGATGCTGATGCCAAGCCAGGTGACGAGTCGCCGACTCACCCTGGGGAGGAGGAAGCTGATGAGCCAACAAACGACCCTACTGATGTGGTTAGGGACTCAGAGATTTCCGGAAAACAACAACTCCTGGATGCGTTGGGAAAACTCTTCACTGTCTCTGAGGATGTCAATGTGTGTTTGTACTGTGGTAGCACCAAACATGGTCATCTCGAATGCGAAAATGAGAAGAAGGATGAAGTCAGAAAGGTGCTAAAGGCCGTCCGGGCGTCGCTCGAGGCTGATAGTCCTACATCTGATGACGTCGAGATGGAACCACCTGAGCACAGAAAGGACGGATCAGGTGCTACTGAAGGGCCAGGGCAAACGGATGAGCCTACAAAACCAAGGTTTGGTGAATACCAGTGGTACGACTGCATCAGGACTATGTCCGAAGTCGGAGACCTGGATGAATATGGTAGGTTTTGTATTGAAGGGCGTGATGTTACCAAGCTGGGACCCCAGAATATCGTTGATCTCAACGAAGTGATCCGGGACGCTATTGTCAGAGGAGGAGGTGACACTTGGTCAGTACCAGAGTTCCTCGCAAGCTACTCCGACAACAACATCAGAAAACCCTTCTACAAACGGATCGAAGCGCCGCGAGATGGTTTCTTGAAAATCATCCCCACGACGGGAGCCCACTTCTTCAACTGCTTCTACTTTGGCGGTGTGGAGTATGCGGCAAACTATCGCTTCGAAACCGGTAATCGGCTCGACAGCTATGAGGACAAGGTGAGCACCTCACTGAACAGGATCCTGCGACACAATGTGGGGAAAGCCTCAGAATCACAAAGCTTGTTTTGTGACGATGCCGGATGGGTACCCATTGAGGAAGTACTCAAATGTGAGTCAATCTGGAGACATGAGTACCAACGTTGGCCGCATGTCTTCCTCGCCCCCAAAGGGAGAGCAAACGATCAAAATGCATGGAACGTGAAAGAGGCGAGCAATCGCATGGCATTGTTGTTCAAGATCATGTTCCACTGTGCCCGATATGGACGTCGTGTACGTGAACAGGTCTTGGCGTTCGGGATCAACAAGGACATTGATCGCAGCAGCCTGACGTGCATTGACAACAACGTCAACGCAGACACGCATATTCCCGACGAGGGGCTATTGCTCTATCCAGTTGCAGTTCGCGCTCCAACGGGGCACAAGGAAGGATCCTCCAGAGACGACGTCTTGTTGATGTCATCCTTGCTCTCGCATCCGATCGCGCCCAATACCATCATGTCACTGCCGGTTTGCTTCCACATCACGAAGAAGACCAACCTTCGAAGCATTTGGAGGGAAGGATTGATTCCAGGAGGTCTTGGAGAAGGTCATCGTATGTTCACGTTCTTCAATCCATACGTGCCGTGGGATCATAGATCATGGACTATCACGAAGAGCGTTGACACGCGAAAAGGGGACTACATCTGCCTCTTCATCCCGACCGAGACCCTGATGGTGGAGTACGGTGGTCGATTGATGGATTCGGGACAGATTGTTTCGCCAAAGATCATCCCGTTCTCAGCGATCAAAGGAGGATGGATTCAAGATCCAAAGGATCAAAACAACAAGACATGGCTCCGGTTGTTCGTTCCGTCGGGCGACGACCAGGTAGTCCGGTCAGGCACTGTCAAGTCAAGAACTGTCGCCACCAAGGAGTCCATTCTGAGGATCGCAAGTCAATGCATCGACGCCGAAAAGCAACCGTATGACGAGATCACCATGGATGCAATGAACATCATCCATCAGTTCAGGAACAATCTCATTGAAGCTGGCGGACAAGAACAATACCTCGCCCGCGTCAAGCTGATCGACTACATCGTCGAGCGCAAGAGGGTGGAAACTTCAGGTTGCCGTCATTGCCCTCATTGCCTCAATGAGACGCCGACGAAGTTGGCAGTATGTCTAGGTTGCTGGACAGAGCTTGAGAGCTGTGGAATTCGACCTTATAGACTACAAGCTCCTGAAGACGATGAAGACGAGGCCACAAAGAAAGAGCTCGACGAGGAGGTTCGCCGACAGGAAGAATCGTTGTTCGAGGATACGGTCCACCAAGCACAGGAAAACGTACCTGAATCCAACGATTATGGCTTCAATCCTGACGAGGTCGACTACAACGAAGGCGATGACGAGGAAATGGCTCAGGAGGAAGAGACTCAGCAGGAAGACGATGAGATCGTTGAAGAGGACGACGATGATGACATGAACGTCGAACCTGAGAATGAGCCTTCATCCAACCTGCCAGCATGGACCAAGAATCTTGTGCCGGGAGGCAAGGGTTTGCCAGGAGATGGTCTAGTAAACAATGATGTCTCCGAGGCCGCGGCTCACTTGTACGACAATGCCGTGATGTCAAAGATCATCGCAATGTTCAGACTCTACTACAACCAGAGAGTCACTCTGACCCCAGAGGACTACTATGCGTTGATGACAGCCACCAAGCGAGTCCGACTGGACCTGGATGACTTCTGCCCCTACACGGGCGAACATCAGGACGGCAAACTCAAGCGGCCGACTGAGCAGGAATTGGACGAACTCTTCAAGGAGAAAGGGAAGAAGAACTCATGGTCAGAGGGAGAATTGATGTACTCTGGGCGGCCGAGAAACATGATGATGCCTGTCATCAAAACTCTAGAAGTTTACGAAAAGATGATGGAGTTTCTCATCTGTGCCGGGTACACTCCCGAGTCCTTGGGTTTCCTCATGCCAATGACGAAGATGCAGGGAGATGCGAAGGAAAAGCAGGAGATGAGGGTGACCATTAGCAACTTCCTCCGACGATTGATGAAGGGAACCTTTCCCGAATATGAGTCATACACCTTCTTTCGTTCCGGGAGCCACGGCTTCCCCAACTGCATTGAACTCCCAGCTTTCTCGGTATATCTGAGTCTGAGAGAAAAGGAACAAAGGGTGGAACTACTCTTCGCTGCCCAACAATGCGGTATTCCATTACCTCGCAACTTCATCAGCAAGATGGCTTACGCCATTCAACTCGCTGAATCCGAGGCGATGAGGGGAAAGTCCGAAATGAAAATGAAGATGGCTCCGAACCTGGGGGACGAAGTGGTGAGTGAAGTATTCAAAGCAGTCGGGGACAGTGCTAGCACCAAGCGTGCCGCTGCAGACGCGAAAGCCAGATCATCAACACAGCCTTCACAGAAACCTGAAGATACTGGTTCAGCGTCATCATCTTCGGCCAGTGCACCAAAGGCTAAGGCTATGCCGAAGTCTTATGAACCATCTAAAGCACCACCTACGAAACCTCCGTCGCCAAAAGCTGCTCCGAAACGTGCGGCAGGTTGGGAGAAATCTCAAACGACACCTCAGTGGAAGAAAGTCCGCCGCGAGGAGTAAAACAAACACCTCTGTCCATCCAAGTGATCACTGGACTATAAGATGTCTATCGTCTTTGTGAACAGATGATCAGGAAAAGACCAATTGAGAGGACTCTGAGCGAGGCAGTAGACTAATTCGCTTAGGTTCCATGTTTCAATATTCCCAATCTGCACGATTTCTTTTTAGCAATGTGCACGTAAATTCGCTAGTTAGCGTCAATAGCTATTCTTGGTGGAGCAGTCAACTTCCGTCGTCGATGGAGTGACTTGCAAAACCATAATCGTAGAGTAGCTGCAAGCTAGCGACATTTAACGATGTACAGCTCGAACCTGCGCCAATGCATTGCATGCCATAGAGTAGGCAATCCCGGATCCACTACGCTCGTCGGGCGTGGGTGAAGGGAGAGCCGAATGGAAAATGCGGGTACAAAGGCGTAATTCGTGCATTACAAAGAATTTAATTCAAAGTTCCCACTCTCGTGCCTACGGTTCGAAGACGCCGTAGGCATGGGGGGCGCGAAAGGGAACTAGACCATACAGTCACTCAACATGCTGAGCATGTAGGGTAGGAAACAAGTATGCATGTACCGCCAATTACTTTGGCTCAAGATCACGCGTGAGGAAAAAGATCGGTCTCCGAGTGCCATGCCGTGACGTTGCCCAGCATTACCAGCACAACGGGTATTTCAATCAAAAGGGATAATCCAGAACAAGGATTAAATTGTTCACATTACACATGCCCTACATCATGTACTTCCAGATGATATGTCAGAAACTATGTCAGAATATGAATATGTGAGGGTGATCACAGGTAAAATTCCTCTTTCATATCTGTAACAACAGACATCATTCCCACCATCAACTCGCCCCCGCGGAAGGACTTCACTTCAGTGGCTTCACATTCGATGCGCCACGGGCCAATGCTGCGCCAACGGAGTGGGTCTGGGGGCTTGGTCGTCATTCCCATCCATTCCCTACGCAAAAAGCACGAGTTTTAGCTGGTGAAATGTGACCAAAATGGGGAGTTGAGCCAAGACAAATGTGGATTTGCCTCCAAAAACCGGGATTTGAACAACAACAGTTGGGATTCAACTGATTCAACCATTAAAAAATTAAAACTTGAGCAAACAAATGGTCAAATTGATGAATTTTGCCAAGAAAAACAAACGTGTTGGATTTGTTCTTAAAACATCAGGAATTTTTCGGCACACACATGAGCAAGTATGTTGATTTTTGCAAGCAATTTTGGAGATCAACCAAGGGATATTTCTGAAAGTCTACGTGGTGAAACTTATTGTGTAGATATTGTGTATTTTCGTTGGTAATTTAACATAGCTATTGAAAATGACCATTTATAGTGGATTTTCCCATTAAAACTTGTGATTTTCCATAGTTATGTTAGTTTACCAGAGGGTATTTTCTCTGATTTTATAGCCGATATACCGATGTTTTCCATGTTGGAACCAACACTCACCAACAAAATATGAAAATGGTGCCTACCAGGCTCAAACATCAGTTGGACGGGGTTCCTCTGGCCAACATCGTAGGCTGCAAATGCTGTTTGTAGCGCTTGAATGTGAAACATGGAATTGTATGGCTCATTTATTGTGGTTCAATACTTTTTTTGCGTACATCAATGATATATCTACTATTGGTTTACCTGAAGATATTTAATTTATCTTCAGGTAAACCAATAATAGATACAGTACATATAGGTTTACATCTAGTATAAATAAAGTACAGTTATTGATTTCCTCAAGATTTTGATCTCCATAGATCCATACCATCTCCGGCCACTTTGGGCGGAAACCAAGGCTTCGGATCTCTTTGGCAAGACCTGGCTCTTGCGTCTCAAGGCGCGGCGTTTCCGAAACGCCTGGAGGGCAAAGCCTGGAGAGTAAAGCCTGTTGAAACAGCTATTGAATCACCATGAATCACCTATTCTGAGGCTCAAAATTCCATGATTTTCATGGATTTCGGAGGATTTGGTTATGTCAGTTCTCTTCCCATAGCCTTGAAATAATTTGAAACACCAAGCGCTGAGGAGAAATGGTTGGGCCTGGGACCATGTCCCTTTAGCGATCTGGCGGACTGCCTGGTACCTGTTAGAGACCTGGCACGAGATCTGCCGGGGATGGGGTGAATATGTTGGGAATCTGTTGGGAATATATTGGCACCATATTATAGACAATGTTGGGAATATATATCCAATATGTTGGGAATATGTTGGCAACAATATAGGGACAATAGACACTGAAACATCAAATATATTGGCAACAATAAAGACACTGAAAAGTGAAATATTATTTGACTTCTGGTTGACAGTATCATGAACTATTGGTTGTTTCCTTTCAATAACCTTGCTCAGACATCCTCGGTGGACTCGGCAAGTGGTGATAGTTTCAGTGATGCGACCAGATCCTGGGGTTCAAAACAAAAAAAAATCATTCGACGGTGGATATCCAAATCTTCGGAACTTTCAGTGTTTCCAATTGTAGATTCTCAGGAAGTCTTGCATCACAGTTGTTTTCTTGGTCGAATAGTCACAATTTTTGCTGTTTCTAAGTCATGAGAGTCCATCATTTGATGTCAAACATCACCTTTTTCTTGCTTGAAATCCAGTTTCTTTCTTGCAGTTCCAAAGAAATCCACCAAATTCCCATGTTTATATATATATATATATAGACTTCACAAAAATATCATGACATATTCTAACTCTGGGGATATCTATTTTTCTTCGTTTCTTAAACGTTTTTAATGCCATGAATCTGCTGAACTCTGCCAGATCCCGAGGAAAGGAGGACGCCATCCCCGTGACGCTCTTCGGACGCGGCAGTCGGCTGCCTCGGAAGGGTGACCTCATCGAGGCTGGATTGGCCTTGCAGGAGCCGAGCTGAGCTGAGCTGGGAGGACGGTGATGTGATGAAGTTGAAAATAGGAGAAACATGGATAAAACATGGATAAAATATGGATAAAAGATCTATAAAAGACATATAAGTTCTAAAAAGATCATCGATTGATCTATTTTGATGATCTTTGACTTTCAACTGAGAGGTGGTTTATGGATTTGGAAGCTAGTTTAAACAGCCGACATCATGATTTTTGGTCGATTTCAAAGAAGGGGACTGTGTCTTATCAGTGGAGTTCTTGAGAGGATTTTGATGCTTATATGAAAGATACCCTCTGGTGAACTAACATAGCAATGGAAAATGGCCATTTATAGTGGATTTTCCCATTAAAAATGGTGATTTTCCATTGCTATGTTAGTTCACCAGAGGGTATTTGTGGTTCTGAGGGCGTATTGGAATATGTTCAATATCTGTCTGCTGATGCTGTTTAACCACATCAAGTACTGAAAGAAACCGCTAAGAGAAACCAGAGGATCGCTGGAGGGGACCATAAAAAATGTCATGAAGTGGTCATGACTCACCCAACTGCAGCTGAGTGTTGCCTTGGTTTGCCCACCGGGATCTTTGCATATCTTTGCTGTGTTTGTTTTTGATTTTTGCTCACAGCCTAATCGCGAATGGTCAAAGTCGAAGCTGCCAATTTGATGGTGTTACTATCCAATCATTGGCCCAATATTTCGGATGAGAACTACACCCAAGACATTCCAAGACTTTTTTTTTGCAACTGGGGGGTGTGAGATTTGATCCGGGGTATGACCTCAGCTGCGGCTGGTTTGCCAGCATTTGATCATTTACAGTAGATTTTGTCACCAAAGTTGCATAAAAATCACAAGGTGGTTGGATTATGATCCCCAGTTCAGGATGGTTAAACTGTACATTTAACCCAATTTTTGATGGGCCGTTCGCTCCCCCATTTTTTTCAAACATTTGCATTCGCCCTGCGAGTGTTGTGACCGGTTGTGACGCGTTGCGGTACCGTGTGTTGCCATGGACATAGCTGACGACGACGTGCATGCCCTGGAAAATCTGCTGAGGCCGAGGGTTTCAAAATGAGACAACACGTGGCAAATCGGGTTTCATCGCTTAATTCTGAATGATAGATCATGATAATTCCCTTTTTTGCTGGTTAAATTATGTTAAATTCTGATTCCAATTGATTACAACCGTTTTTTTCTCGAGGCACGTTGCTATTTCTTTTGTTGGTCCACTCCCTGTTTTTGTATATTTGTTGTTTCCAAAATTTTACGGGTCAAAAGCAGCATTTTTACAACTGGGGCTCCTTGGCAAACCAGGAATTTCCAGGAGCAGCTGCAAGAAATTGCGGTGTATCAAGCAGATGAAGCCCTGGACAAAGCCGTGGTCGAAGCGCAGATCGAAGATCTGGAGAGCAGGTTGGACAGTCGACAGCAGCAGAACCAGGACGTGGGAACTGTTGGGAACGGAGGGGCCAAGGCTTGAAGAAAAGTGTGGTTTCACCATGGTTTCACCATGGTTTCACCAACAGAAAAGATGGGAAGATCAAGATGTTGGTATTAATGTTTTTTGTTGGTGAAACCATGTGAAACCATCATTTTTGATGTTTGTTGGGTATTAATCATCATGTTTTTTGATGTTTGAGCCTTAGTGCAGCACTCAACGGCTCGATATTAACCATCATATCCATCATTGAATGGGTGTAATGTTAGCAAAGCTAAAGTAAACCATCCCCCACATTTACCATTCCTGTGGGTTGTAATTGTATAAACCGTTAACATTTGGGCTTGTTCATTATTGCTTTACTACTATGACTATTATATAATTAACCAATAAATTGATGGAAAGAGTAAGATGTTTAAGCAAACATATGGGCTTTAACTGGCCTCAACCAGCCCAAAAAGCTGGGCTTTCACTACAACTGAAGGATTTTTTCTTAAATGGCTTCAACGAGCAAACACCTAGGTTTTCGCTGCGACAGAAAAGACATTTTTCAGGCCACAACAACCGGACATGGTTCTAAGCCACCAGAATTGAGAGTTGACCAAGAAACTTGGGCATATCGTGTCCTGCAGAAAAGACAGAAAAAGTGTGAAAAGGTCCACATTTACATCATTTACCATTGTTTTAATAGGATTTTGCTAAAATCTATTTCTTGGGCGCTGCATGGCGCTGCTGATGCTGCTATTTTTGGTTCTTTTTTTTGGGGGGCTTTTTGCAATACAGCCCACCAAAGGCATGTAAATTCAGGATGTGATTTCCATCACGATCAGGATCTCTTCCGAAGAGTCAAAATGTTGGAAGAAGTCCTACAGATGGAGCGTCAGAAACGCATCAGACAGATGGCTGCAGACAATGAGGTGGATCTGGGTGAAGATTTATGATTGTTCCATACTTTTGTGGTGGTTGAAAATGGGGTACCTTCAATTCCAGCAGATTCCAGAATTTTTGCATTTTCCATCCATCATTTTGGGGACATGTTTTATCAAAGTTGATGTTTTCACCCATTTTTGCTATGAAAAACCAGGGTTTTTTCCGTTTTTCTGCCAGGTACTTCCGGGCTTCATGACCCCACGCAGATCGCGGAGCTCGCTGCCCAGCTTCCAGGATCTCTCGGAGTTACTCCTGGCGCGGCGCGCGATGATGTCCAGCCGGATGTGGCTCAAACCCAACTGTACCGGAACGATAGACATGGAACACTGCGACTGCTGAGAATGCTGAGATGGGGATGGGTCAAAAGCTAGAAACATGAGGAAAATCAGGATCAATCAGGATCATGAGGGTCGAAGCCATGTTTTTTTGTTTTTCATATGTTTTTTATAACATAGACCCGGGCAAGCCGGCGGCGGAAGTTTCCCAAAAATAAATGACCTATAGTTCGAAGAAAAACCTGTCCCGACCGTGTCCTTCCCTCGACAAGCGGGTTTTTTTCAGCGAGAGACGAAGCAAAGTCTTCACACTCCACACTCCACACTCCACACTTCACACTGCACTCTTCGCACTCCAAACTTCAAACTTCAAACTTCACACTCCACACTTCACACTTCACACTTCACACTTCTCACTTCTCACTGCTTCCTTCACACTCCAAACCTCACACTTCACACTTCACACTTCACACTGCGCTCTTCGCACTCCAAACTGAAACTTCACACTCCACACTTCACACTTCTCACTTCCCACTGCTTCCTTCACACTTCACACTTCACACTGCACTCTTCACGCCCCACACTTCACACTGCTCTAAACGTACGTCCAACAAAAAAAACACTAGTGCCAAAATGGAGAAAATCTGCTAACAAACCCATTTCGCAGCCTTCATGCAGCCACTCCAAGACGATTTCCGAGATCCAGCTGCAAAAGACAATAGTATTACCAATGCAGCCACAGCACGAAGCAACCTTGACGCAGCCATTACAATGCGATCTGCAGAGACTGAGTTTCAAAACACAATAGAACTACGCACAACGGCGTCGGAAATTGTAGCTCCAAAACCGGATCTCGACGCCAGAGCGAAAAAAAGACGATTTTGAAGCACTTTTTAAAAGGATTTTTAGAAGGAAATTCACTAGCGCCAAAATGGAGACAATCTGCTGACAAATCACTGTGGCAGCCTTCATGCAGCCACTCCAATACGATTTACGAAGTCGAGCTGCAAAAGACAATAGTATTACGAATGCAGCCACAGCACGAAGCAACCTTGACGCAGCCATTACAATGCGATCTGCAGAGACTGAGTTGCAAAACACAATAGAACTACGCGCAACGGCGTCGGAAATTGTAGCTCCAAAACCGGATCTCCGCGCCAGAGCGAAAAAAAGACGATTTTGAAGCACTTTTTAAAAGGATTTTTAGAAGGAAAATCACTAGCGCCAAAATGGAGAAAATCTGCTAACAAATCCATGTCGCAGCCTTCATGCAGCCACTCCAATACGATTTACGAGATCCAGCTGCAAAAGACAATAGTATTACGAATGCAGCCACAGCACGAAGCAACCTTGACGCAGCCATTACAATGCGATCTGCAGAGATTGAGTTGCAAAACACAATAGAACTACGCGCAACGGCGTCGGAAAATTGTAGCTCCAAAACCGGATCTCGACGCCAGAGCGAAAAAAGACGATTTTGAAGCACTTTTTAAAAGGATTTTTAGAAGGAAAATCACTAGCGCCAAAATGGAGAAAATCTGCTGAAAATCACTGTGGCAGCCCATGCAGCCACTCCGTACGATTTACGAGATCCAGCTGCAAAAGACATAGTATTACCAATGCAGCCACAGTGCAATCCCATTTACAGTGAGGGAACGATCCTAGAGTTGCAAATCACAATGGAATTCCATCGGAAACTCATCCACCAGCACCACTTGCAATCCCATTTACATTGCGGGAACGATCCTACAGTTGCAAATCACAATGGAATTCTGTCGACCGCACATGCACGAAAAACAGTTGAAACCCCATTTACAATGCGGAACCGATCCGAGCATGATCCGACCATGATCCGAGACCGATCCGACCATGATCCGACCACACACGAGACCGTCTCGCACCCGTCGCACCGCAGAGGTAGATCATCGAGGTTCGGGGACGGACTTTGTATGGAAAAACATAGGCTTTTGTGCATCTGCTATCTCTCAAAAACGCATTTCGTGCGAGACTTCCTCCAAAACTCCATCGGCAACTCCTCCACCAGCACCACTTGCAATCCCATTTACAGTGAGGGAACAGTTTCTTTGCTAACTCTTTCCCTCACTAACTCTTTCTTTGACTACTCTTTCCCTGACTGACTTGTTTCTTTGCTAACTCTTTCTTTGACTAACTCTTTCCCTCGCTATCTCTTTCTTTGACTAACTCTTTCCCTGACTAACTCTTTTTTTGACTAACTCTTTCCCTGACTAACTGTTTCTTTGCTAACTCTTTCTTTGACTAACTCTTTCCCTCACTAACTCTTTCTTTGACTAACTCTTTCCCTGACTAACTGTTTCTTTGCTAACTCTTTCTTTGACTAATCTTTCCCTCACTAGCTCTTTCTTTGACTAACTCTTTCCCTGACTAACTCTTTCTTTGACTAACTCTTTCCCTGACTAACTATTTCTTTGACTAACTCTTTCCCTGACTAACTCTTTCCCTCACTAACTCTTTCCCTGACGAACTCTTTCTTTGCTAACTCTTTCTTTGACTAACTCTTTCCGTGACATTTTCCCTGACTAACTCTTTCTTTGACTAACTCTTTCCCTGACTAACTGTTTCTTTGACTAACTCTTTCTTTGACTAACTCTTTCCCTCACTAACTCTTTCTTTGACTAACTCTTTCTTTGACTAACTCTTTCTTTGACTAACTCTTTCCCTCACTAACTCTTTCTTTGACTAACTTTTTCTTTGACTAACTCTTTCTTTGACTAACTCTTTCCCTCACTAACTCTTTCTTTGACTAACTCTTTCCCTGACGAACTCTTTCTTTGCTAACTCTTTCTTTGACTAACTCTTTCTTTGACTAACTCTTTCTTTGACTAACTCTTTCCCTGACTAACTGTTTCTTTGACTAACTCTTTCTTTGACTAACTCTTTCCCTGACTAACTGTTTCTTTGACTCACTCTTTCTTTGACTAACTCTTTCCCTGACTAACTGTTTCTTTGACTAACTCTTTCTTTGACTAACTCTTTCCCTGACGAACTCTTTCTTTGCTAACTCTTTCTTTGACTAACTCTTTCCCTGACATTCTAAAAGTCCGTAACACGGAAGTTTCTCCCCCTAAACTTCCTTTGAATATAGCAGTGATTTTGATATGACCCATTCCCAAACACCGGGAGATATTCACCTTGGCCATGGCCTGTCGATCAAACAAGTCTCCGATCGAAGCTGCGGAGAAAATTGCTGCGGCGCTTGTCTCGTTCTCATTTTGTTTCACCAATGTTCGATGATTAACATTCCTGGTGTCTTTCATGATGTTTTTTCATCTTCATTTCTGAGCATGTCATTGGTCACGATTCTATGTTAGCGGTCACTTTTCTTTGTGCTATAGATTCTGTGTCGTGCTGGTTAGCTGTTTTGATTGATTCACTTCCCGGACAAAATGATACCACATATATGGTTGTTTCCTCCTATTTTTATTTTGATTCCCTTTTGAGGTTGTGGTTAGATCAGTTTTCTGGGTTACATAGATAAGATAACAATTAATTAAAAAACCATTTTTTTGTTTGTTGGACACCTGATGTTGGTCACTTTCACCCGGTGAATTTCTCATGTTGTCCTAGATCCCCATCATTCTTGGGTAAAAAAATGGAGGTTTCCTGAGTCATGGGCCCGCACCCCCAAATCATCCATTGATAGATGGATTTTCCATGATTTTCCATGATAAGACCGTCCATTTTTATCCCATTTTTTGGGAAAAAACTGTATCACATGTAAGTATCACTGTATCACCATGACTATGGAACCTGGAACCCCCCAATCCTCATTTTTCGACTGCTGGCAGCTACAGGATGAGATCCGTGGTTTCGTGACGCACGATGACGAGAATGTGATGCAACGGGCTGGGGTGACCCAGAGATTTTTTGTGATGAGATTTTTCAAAAAAGGTGAGTTGATCCATGAAAAATCGTGATTCAACGATCGAAAATGCTGGTTTTACCTTTTGAAATGGATTTTCATCATCAAAAACTGGGATGGAGGCATCACGGCATCAGCTTGTCTCATGGGGTAAAACCCGAAAAACCCATGGATTTCGAGGCAACATCGATAGAAATGGGCATTTCCTGAGTCATGGGGGCACCATGGGCTACCCCTAAATCATCCATTTATAGATGGAATTTTCCTTGAAATAAACCATCAAGCGAGCTTGAGGTACCCCCATGACTATGGAAACCTCCATTTGGAAATTGACGTTCCCTACCCAGAAACGATTGGGTAGTAGTAGAACTTGATATTTCCATTATATTTCCAATGACTTTGTTCATTGGTCTATAGAACAGGACACGGGCTTCTAGTACTTACTTGGGGGGTGCAGTTGGGGTTGGAAGATCAAATCTCCATGGTTCACTGAGGGCTACGGCTTTTGGACTCCGGACTTCTATGGCCATGGCAGGATGAAATCCGAAGATGCGGATCTCTTCACTTTCACCAAGGCTGGAGCTGGGTGATGTCTCTGACAAACCTGGAACATGGCAGGTTTGATCAAGAAAAACAATATGAGGGTCGTTGTGAAACCAGATTGAACTGTGTTTTTTTTACTTTGATTTGTGGATAGCTAAAAGCCCCAAAGGGATCTTACCACGATTTCTGTCGGCCTATCACAGGTGTCCCTTCCCCTTCTGCACCTCAGAAAACGTGTTGGGACAAAATCTCATACTGCAATTCGCATTGATTGAGGCTTCTGTTCTTCCCAAAATCATGAATTTTCCCAACGGCCCACCCCGTGACCCCGTGGCATCCAATGGAACGCAGGATGGAAAGTGGCTCATGCAAGGAGCGGCCTGGAAGGAAAATGATGATGATCAGGACTGGTGAAACATGGCGAAACATGGATTGCAATGGATGGCGGTTTTTGGTTTTTGGTGAGGAAAAAAACATCCCCCTCGATTTATCCATGTTTTTATGCCCCAAAGAAGCCGCTAGCCTTTATAGTTACTAGTTGATCCTTTTACTGGGTCTGATTCAAACGATTTGGGTAAAATCCCGGATGGCATGGATCATACATGCATGGGTAGAGTTCATGCTTGCACCAAACAGAGTAAACATCGAGGATTTTCCAGTCGATCTAGTGCTTAGTAAATACAATAAATACGCCTCCTGGGCGCCTCTTCAAGTTTAAGAAGAACTTGGGGAACTGTTCCACCATTTTTTCCTTCCGATCTAACCGTTGTAGCCATAGGAATACCTGGCCTTCGATGGCAGCCAGATGTTGGAGGTTGATTTCGAAGCTTCGCAGGTTTCCGTCTATGTTTGAGCGCAGCTGGAACCAGGGGAAACAACAGGCAGCATCGCTTCGAACGTGTTGTTTCTTTTTTCACATTCAAGTTAAAGATGAATGAAGAAAATCATTTACTTTCCAAGATATCATGTGTGCTTGCCCTTGAGACAGAAGGCCACAAGGGTGAGGTAATTCACAATGATTCACAATGTGAAGCCCGGTTCCAGAGGTAGGAGTTTATCATTGCGCTGTTAGCATTTTGTGATCTATACAGCCAATGCGCGGGGCTCTGCTGACCGATGCTCCGTGAGAGTTCTGCGGGGGCTCCGCAAATGGGGAGTTTCCTGCCTTCGACTTAGATGCACTGGGTCGCACATCCTTGTTCAAGGGAGCAAGGTATAGATGCTGTATCCTTGATTTGAAGGGAAAAGACTGCGCTAGTCCTACAATTCAGCCCTGATTTCAAGCAATCCCCACTTTTCGCTTCAAAGGATCCAAACACGCGAAAATGATTCGCCGTACAGCAAGCAACAAGACCCCAATGACACTCAAGCAATGCATCTCAATGCTATATCTGGTGGTTTGGAACATGGCTAGATTATTTTCCATATGGGATGTCATCCTTCCCATTGACGAACTCCATCATTTTTCAAGATGGTTGAAACATGTTGAAACCACCAACCAGATAGGCTATATCTATCCATCTCCAATCTGCTACCATGCAGAGATGACCCCCTTGGAAGCAACACCTCAGCAGTTTATCCCATTCCCCGACTTGGAACTGGGGATACAACCAGCCCTACTAAGTGCGCAGGCGCCAAGCCAGATGCTAATCATTATTCATTGAATCATATTGAATCATATAGCAGCCAAGAATCTCCTTTCCGCTGAAGCTATGTCCAGCCCTGGCTCAAGAGAACTCAAGGCGGGTACACAATGACTTCACATGTGATCATGTGGGGGCGACATATTTTACTCATGTGAGAGCCTAAATTCTTTGGCTCAAAGCGGCATGTCTGGCTGGCCACGTTGTGATTTTCACCCATCTGCCGGGAAACCTTGAGCATCAAAGAAAAGGGGTTATCATGGTTGCTATTCCAGTAGTTAGAGAAATGGAGATGATGTAGAAAAATGAAAAATGGTTGAGAATTTATGATGATGGTTGATGATTGGAGGTTATACTATGTTATACTATACCTTCTATCTGAATCGGCACCTCAAAGCACCTGGAAACCGGTCGCAGGAGAGATGGCAGTGACGACTGAAGGACCTGGATCGATGGGTGATGAATTTGCGCAGCGCTACGCATGGATTATGGGAGATTTTGCACAAACTCAGCCAGCTTGACATGACTCACAGACTGGACTTAATTCTGAGTTCCGCAGCTATTCAGTTTCTGAGAGTCGCGGGAACAGTTTTTGTAAGAGAGACATTCTCAGTTTTCAGCATCCCTCAGACATTTGATCATGAGAAACTGCCCTTGGGATCCTTGGGCAAGGAAGAATGACAGTTTGATTAATATCAGCCTTGCAACGGCCACATCTTCCAACGGTTTTCCCTTTTTCATCCTTTTTCCAACCGACCGACATTGCCATGCCCAAGAAGGCCATCGCCTTCCAAGTGCGTTGGCTCAGCATCGACGGGCAGGTCCGGTCCAAGGAGCGTCTCCGTGCAACCCTGGAGACCTGGCCGGAGATCTGTGCAGATGTCGAGTGGCCGAACATTCAGACGAAGCTGAAGAATTTTTGCCGAAAAAGAGGCTTGTGCTACAAGGTCCAGTACCAGAATGGAACGGAACTGGAGGACTTATGTGGCCCAAACAGCCTGAGGAGATTTTTTCAGTTGCACCGTGAGGCCCTTCAAAGTGACTGTGTAGAACTGCCACTGTTTCTCTTTGCAGATCCAACCGATGGCACTTCTGTCGGAACGGAAGCAGAGTCAGAGGAGATTGTCTTGGAAGTTGAGGAGCAGGGGAGCACCATCAACTTGAGTCTACAGTCTGACCTTCTGCTGGGAGAAGGAGGTGTCGGCAAAGTCCAGCGAGCTTTATACGGCAAAGGCTACGTGGCAGTGAAGAGCTCCCTCCCAAATCAAAGGGCGCAAGACAGCATGAAGACAGAAATCAGCACTTTGCTTCAACTGAACCACCCCAACATCATCAAAGTCTTGCAGCATGGGCATGTCTTGGATCGAGACCACGGTCGCCTACCAGCATATATGATGGACTTGGGCAGGTGTTCTGTAGCTGCTTTGCTGGAAACCGGCTGGCACAACAAGGCAGCGGCAGAGGCTGCGCAGAGAGATGTGGGTTGGGCATTGCAGCATCTTCATGCTGCTGGCTTGGGTCACATGGATGTGAAGCCGGGAAATTGGCTGGTGACCAACAAGTTCACGGCGCCAGATGGGGAAACTCAACTCCAACTCAGGCTGATTGATGCCGGCGGGGCTGGAAGGCTACACAAAGGTCATGTGAAATCATGTACCGCCGAGTATGCCCATCCAATGCAAAGGGGGGTATCCCGTCTCGGCCCCAACGTCAATGTTCGAAAGGTTGTCATCAAAGCCTTTTTTGACTGGTATGCCTTGCGCCTATCAATCTTCCAGCTTTCGAATTCGGACTCTGACAATGGAACTGCGACAGATGAGCAGATCCTGCAAAAGGCATCAGAGACCTTGGCAAGTGACAAAGAGTTCGTTCTGCAAGCAGTCCAAGAAGGGGGAAAAGAAGTGTTGTTCTTTGTCTCTGAGACACTCCTGAATGACACAGAGGTGGTCATGGAAGCAATCCGACAGGAGGGAGCAAAAAAAGTGCTGTTTGCATACAGGGCACTTCAAAGTAACAAGCAGATTGTCATGGAAGCAGTCAAGCAGAATGGCCTCGTTCTGCAAGATGTCTCTGAGGCACTCCAGAATGACAAGGAGGTCGTCATGGAAGCAGTGCGGCAGAAAGGCCTTGCGCTGCGGTATGCCAGCGAGAAACTCCGAAGTGACAAGCAAGTTGTCATGGAGGCAGTCCGGCAGGAGGGTTTCGCGCTGCGGTATGCTTGTGACACATTCAAGAATGACAAGGAAATTGTCATGGCAGCAGTCCGGCAGCATGGCTGTGCGTTAGAATGTGCTTGTGAGGCACTCCAAAATGATCCCGAGCTCGTCATGGAAGCACACCACCCGGATTGTCCCAAGCGGGCCTCCAAGTTTTACCAGGGTTACATCCAGGGGGCCAAGATTGCCTCCCAGGTTGCACAGGGTTTCAAGATGGTCAAGTCTTTGGCTCATCGAGTCGATCAGTGGCTCATATCATCATGTAACTGGTAAGCTTTGACTTTCTATTGGTGCAGACAGTGATGTTGCCGTTGACAGCTGTTAGCCCAATTTTTAACGAGATAGTGTGATATCGACAGCGGTGTCCATCGTGGATAGATCCCTGCTGCTGTTTTTTTGAAAATGGGTGGCGTTGCTGAGAGAGCTGTTCATGAACGATCTTTAAAGAGGTACCTTTGTAAAGCAATATAAGCAATGGACACTTGACACTTTGGTTCGTTCTGCTGGCCAAGCCATCTTATGTGCTTGCAGGAGGAAGACGTGGCTCAGGCGCATGCTCCGGATGCTCCGGATGCTCCGTGTCCGCTCCTGATGCCGCAAACTTTCCAGCTGCCATGATTTTGTGCACTTGAAACATCTTTAAAAAAGTGTTTGACGATCAAATTATCGGCCTGATCTGATGGACCCTTACCCTCCATACCTCCTAAGGTAACAGAATGTGCAATAGATATTGAATGATATCGAATGTCATTGCAGCGCATCCCTCCCTGAAAATTGCTGCCAGAGATGTCTTTGTTAGTTCTTTTTATCATGTGTTATTTTTGTGTTTTTTCCGTGCTTTGGATGCCCTTGCCATGACAACCGAAAAGGGCGCTACGCACATATATGACAGTGGTCTTTTCTTTTTGATACACAGTAAGATCCACAGATCAGCGACTCAATGCGCACTCACAGTGTGGCAGCCATCGCTCAGAAGCTGATGGAAAATGATGGATCCCATTAACTGAGTTCAACTAGCAGAAGAGAATGATGTGGCTGTGCAACCCAGAACCAAGTTCCAAAGGCTTGGAAAGGCTCAATGTTTTTTCAGGGCGGTAATATCAACTCAAACCCAAGTTCGAATCCAGGGGCACCCCAAGCACAAATTGAGCTGTATAGGCAAAGGGGACAAGAGGTTTAAGACAAACCTGCGGCTGACAGGGTTTCAATATGTTTCAATCATACAGGTGCAGCTATTTACAAGGTTTAACATGGTTTAACAAATGTTTAACAAATGTTTAACCATACCTGTCAATCATATGAATCATACCTGTCAAACCTTTCAATGGCCCTGTGGCTGACATGGGGTTTCAGTGTTAATATGTGCACCAATGAGCCCAAGAGCCGGTCAGAATTGCCGTCAGGGCGAGCCGACGGATCTAGCTGCAGCGCGGGAAAAATCATGTTCTGCAAACGCTTCCTGCAGCAACTTTGATACAACCTGATCTAGGTAGTTAATAGATTTAATAGATAAACTCTATACACCTCTAATACTGGTACACTGTTTTTTGTTTTTTATGTTCATCTTTTCATGTTTTTTTTCAGATTGTTCGGATGGTGGAGGTTTTGCTTGTTTTCACCAAACATTGTAAATTGTTCCACCGATGGTCAAGCTGGAAGCAGGACCTGCATCAAGTTCGAAGGCAGTTCCCAACCCAATCCTTTTTGAAAAGGCCTGGAATGAGCGACACCCTTGGGAGATAGCTCCCCCTGGTATGGATCAACCATGATCAACCGTTTTGAGACTGAAACATGTGAGACTTGTGCGGAAAAAAAATCCGGTGCCATCCGGTTTACTAAAGCTGCAATTGCGGCATGTTTCATCATCAAAACCAATAAAGGAAAAGTTGTTCTGCCACTGCAACCAGCTTGGCAATTCAACCCGCTTTCTGGATGGCAAAATATCTTGTGGCAAGAACGGCAATCCGGCAATCGTTTTGCGCTTTTCGTGAGACAAACGTTGTTTGCACAGACAGTATACCCCTTCAATCTCAGGACATCCAAGATTAACCATTGGATACAAAGTAGTTTAGGAAGCTTTGGGTTTCAAGTTTTAAGTGCGTCATTGAAGAGACTTGAATCGTTGTGAAGTTTGGTTGACGGTCGGTTCTTTTTCTCTGGACAAATCCAAGGCTTTTTGAAACTGAGGGCTTTCACTCTCTCCCGTTCTCAGCCTCAGAAAGGGCTCGAAGAGCTCATGGGTTGCTATCCCCTCCCCACTATATTCCCATATAAACCCCTATTTAAGCATTAATTAAGTCCCTATATCGATTTTAAATCCCATTGAAACCTGGGTCTCAAGCCATGGGAATTCATCATGGCAGAGCGCCATCTTCTGGATCCGCCATGTTCGCTCCTTTGTCCTCCTTGCCTTAAGTTGCTGGGTGTAACCAGGCAGAGCAGGGTGATCCAATGCTTTGTGACTGGGTTGGAACCATCACCGAGAATTGGGATTCATGAATTCTTCATGTCTTTATTTTTTGAAAATAAGCGACGACCTGCGACATATTGTAATCAAATTGTACAGATTTATGTTTTGGATCCTTCTTTCTTTTAAAGCTTGCTCTGGCTCACCGCAAAAGTGGGTGATGAGCGGTGCTGAGACTTTCATATTCTTTAAGTTGGACCCCTGAATACCAAACATTTTCACGCAGGTCCTATAGATGTAAAACACATTAAAACACATGTTTAGCTGCTGTCCATCCCCCCAAAGATGTGTGATGAACCCTCGTTGTGTAGAAATTCCGCCCAGCACGGCAGGCGCTCCACGCCGAAAGCCAATGCGGCCGATTGGGCAGAGACTTTGGCCGAGCCCAGGTATAGCCGTATAGCCCTGGTGGTTTGATTTGAGTTGGTAAGTGGGTTAATAACATTTAATAACTACAGTTACAACAGGGCAAACTCTACCCCTACTTGTCACTGTAGGTCTATACATTTCTTTTGCATATAGATTCTATATAGATACAACCCACTACCCACTTGCGACTCCAGCAGACCCTGCGGCTGTGTAGCTTGGCCGACGACAAGCAGTTGGAGCTGCGGGAGAAGATCCGGGAGGTGACGGGAGCGATCAAGGATGCGAAGTGAAACTCGAATTTTCTGTTTGGTAACACTGTATAGATCTGTATAGTTGTTTTCCCATTGACCCATGATTTTCGCGACGTTTTCGGAGAAACTGCGTGGAATTTGGCATAATTATCTTTGTTTTGGTGGAGCCTTGAATGACAATCCAAAAGGAAACTGATGCATGGCACATTGCTTGAGCGCAGCCGGGCCGTGCTAAGTGAGACGGACTTGATCTTCGGTGTCGAGTTGGTATACCTGGAGCTGATCGAACTGCCTGCGGAATACATGTCATGGTGGGGATCGGGTCCCCGCCACCTAAAGATCCTAATGGTGTGGAGAGACTTTATAGAAAGTCTGACCGGCGACCAATTACTTCGCTGAAGTGGTTTTATTCCCTGTGAAATGATGAGCCAGGGTTGTGTGCGAACTCAAGTTTCGACCATCATAGTCCAATAGTGTCTTCCAGTGTTCAATATATACATCAAAATAGAGCGTTGACAGTTGACGCTACATCCAGGGGTGGGGATTTACTTTTCAGGTCTGATGACCGAGATTCCATGTAGTACGTCTGAGGGGTAGGATTCCGAGGGTCGCGGGATCGCTTGGAACCACAGGGGATGTGGAGTCCTTTTGGGATGAGTTTCCTTCGGAATTCAGCCGTGAGCATTGTACAGAAACATGGCTGAACAATGCGCCTTGCTTCCTGAAACTGCCATCATCCCCTGCATCCACATTTGTCGTACCTGATCAAACCCAAACCCACTAGGAATGTACAACCACCATAATTTCACCAACATGTAGATTCAATGTAGATGCTGAAGTCCAGGGTTATCATTTCCTCCCAACTTCCAAAAAGGCAATCTTGTTGCTGAAACATATCCCTGTGCCAGGGTCGAGAGCCAAGCATAGCTGAAACATATCAAGGGCAAAACGGTGACTGGTTGGGGGATTTATCATGGGGTGATATTATTTATTTAAATTGGGGATAAGATTCAACCATGGATTATGGGGATTAAATCCTCTTACCAGTTTCCCCTAGAAAATCTAGGGGGTCAACCCCCCTGTAAGCCTTCATTTTCTAGTGATTCCAGTTTTGTATTCTGGGGATCGGCTGCTTTCATAGTGGCCTTGATTTTCTAGCGTGGTTATTTTAAGCACCTCAAAGTTGACAGAGCCTAACTTTCTGGCGCGGAAAATGCGGATTTTACGGACCCAAACTGGGGAGTCAGCCTATGAATTTCTAGTGGGCTCTGTCTTTTTAGTTGAGTTAGACTTATGTTTCTGAATACTGGTTCCCTTTTCCTTAGGAAATCCGGCTCGTTAACTCGACTAGGGGAATGTGAAGGGGGATGTCTCTGATCCATACCAGCAATACCTGTTTGCTTTTGTTTTTCTAATGGCTTTCACTGTGACCCTGTGCATTCACTGAACCATGCGCCCATGATTTTCTCAAATGTACCGCTGGATCTGCCAGAGCAATTTGAGCCGGTCTGTGGGATAGTGCCATGGAAGGCCATTAGGCCATTTCACAGAACGTTCATCATAGTTTATCATAGCAACATGTATCGATATATTTCTGATATCCTGGATGCAATTTCCTCTACAGAATCAGGGGTGTTGACACCCCAAAAACCTTCGATTCTGTAGAGCCATCCTGCACCCCTCAAAGACCATGGGCTGGCAAGCACCCAAAAACCATCCATTTTGGACATGTTTGGATTGTATCTTAGTAGGTCCATGATTCTGTAGACAGGGGCCCCAACAGCCAGCCGGGAGTGCACAAAACCTTACCTTTTGGGCATGCAACTGATTTTGTAGAGATAAGGCTTGTGACAACCTAAGGTCTTTGATTTTCTAGTAAAGCATGCCCCTTAATGTCATATCTTCAGATCTTGATTGTGAGAGATGGTAAAAGGGAATGACCTTGATTCTGTAAAGGATAGTTCCCCGGAAACCCCTGTTGCCCAACATGTATGGGTTTTTGATTTTGTAGAGGGAGGTTAGATGTGAAAAATGCTGGTTAGTCTTCAATACCAGGGGTAGCCTTTGCAGTAGGAACGGTTTATATGGTAGCCTCTCGTGGCCTCTACAAAATCACACACACCAAGGTGTCACCCTCTACAAAATCAATCTCCAAGGGGGAACCACAGATTGGCCTCTACAAAATCAAGGTTCTATTTTATGAGCTCCAGGGTCCTGGGTTTTTGGAATTTTGAAGATGCCCCCGGCATTCCTGAGACTTTTGCCCTAAGAATCTTTAAGGGCCTACTTATCGTGAGAACCCCTCAAAAGTTTATA